GGCAGCAGGTGGTGCATTGTTGGACCTGCACTCCAGTCAACTTGACAATTCAACAAACATTTATTAAATACCTACTGTATGTGAGTAAATTATTTGTTGCTAAGCAAGATTTTTGTGGCTACTTCCTCTTTATTTCTTCTTATAGTGGGAAAGGAAATGAGACATGCCTAGGTGATGGGGATACCTAAGCAAATGGCATTTGCACTCAATAAAGGTGCATTCTACTTGGAGGGGGGAAGGGAATGCAATAATATGTACACAAAACCTTTTCAGATTTTCGGGATCTGTCAGAAACTGTGTTTCTCCAGCCTAACTTTCAAGAATCCAACAGCCCTTTCACGTTATGGTGAGACATATTAATAGATATGTCTTAATTTATTAATTTATTAAATATAACTCACATTTCTAAGTTCCCAAGTTCACACAGTTAGGAAGTATCCAACTTAGGATTCAAACCCAGGTCTCCTGGGTCTTCTCAAATGTATTGTCCTTTCTTTTAAGCCATGCTGCCTCTGTTCCCCAAGGGAAAGAAATCTCAGAGATATCCTTGTATCAACAATATTGTTTACCTGGAAGCCTTGGGCAGGTACTGCCAGCTCTTTTAATAAGATGGGAAAGTGCTAAAGATTGTTCTTTGCAACACCCCCATCTCTAGCGGTTGCAGCAAAAGGACATTTTTGTTAGCCCCTTCTGTGGCGTCATACTAGGCTTCTATCTGTACTTAATGACAGGACAGTTTGATCTGAATTTTCTCAGTTCCTCATAAATCACAATCAATCAATCAGCAAGTATTTATTAAAAGCCTGCGTTGTGCCAGGCATTATAAATAAGAGATGCGCCAACCTTTCTTCTTATCTGACAGGACAATGGTGTGCATCTAAACATGGATTCTATAATTTAACTGTCTCAGTCCCCCTCCTTCAGGCCCCATAGTGGGTCATAAGGCTTCTAAGGATGGTTTTGTGACTTTAGGTGAAGAATGGATAAACTCTAAGGAATAAAGGTTCTGGTTTTGTTGCAGCCTTTATTTTAAATAATAATAAATTCCAAAAGAAACAGAGGCAATAGGGCAGATCTGCAGATTGTCTGCACATGATATATGTGTATATTTTTCTTCTTGAAATCCCGGTGGTTCTTTTTAGAACATGCAAGTGTACATTTTGAACGCTTTTCCTGTGATATTTACCTGATGGGGATTTTTCTCTTGAGTGGAAAAACAGGACCATTTTGCCTGCACAAAGACGATGCCAAAGACTCAGAATCCAGGACATTTTAAGGCAGCTTTCCAACCTCATTACTGCCAGGGATAAAATTTCTCCAAGGTGGAAGTGTCCTCTCTTAGAGCTCAAATCCATCTCACAATTGTTTCTCTTTCCCCTTTGTTTTTCAAGCAAAGCAATTACTTTTTTTTTTATTTTAGAAAAAGAAGCCTGTGCTAATGTACAAAACCCTCCTTTTTCCTCTTTCATTTATTTGAAATTGAACTTAACAAAGTCAATTCCAAGCAAGCGCTCTCTCTCTGAGTAATGCTTTTTGTCCATAAAAACAGCATTGACTCAGGACGGTCAGGAAGTGCTGATGTGCGCTCTGGCTTTGTATGAGAGGCCGTAATGACAAAGTATTCATGTCAAAGTGTATAATGAAACTATAAATTGTTTTCATGAATGCTCGGAATTTGGTCTTTTACAGGGCAAATCCAAAAGGCATTTAGTGCCATTTCATATATGTGAATAACATCAAACTATGCAATATATTCAATAAACTTAAAGAATGATGTGCTCTCACACTTTCAGGTGCCCAGGCTGATAACTGTCAGGTGGGGTGGGGGGAGGACATGTATGGAAGGGAGTTAGGGAGGACTAGGGGTGGAGCAAGGAGGCATTTGCCTAGCTTCATGAAGTGAGAAATCTAGTCAAGGGTACCAGAATATTTGCAGAGAATTTAGAGTATAGTTGAAAGAACTGATGTATGAAAATGAATCTGTGTGTTATGGGTATGTGTGTGTATGAATTATGGAAGAAGTTGCAAATGTTGTTGCTGAGTGGTTAAAAGTAGAGGAGAAAAGCTATGCCTGTAGAATATTGTGTTCTTCTCCTTGACCTACTTGAAGGTGCTTCTCCTAGGTGGTGTGGTTTGGTATAATCTGGCTTAGTATCTTAGTAGTGTTTTTTTTTTTCCTTTGAGGCAATCAGGGTTAAGTGACTTGCCTAGGATCACAGAGCTAGCAAGTATCTGAGGTCTGATTTGAACTCAGGTCCTTCTGATCCCAGGGCAGGTACTCTATCCACTGCACCACCTATTAGTAGTGGTTGGAAAGAGATTATTGTGTAGGGAAAATGGCACTGGACTTGAATTTAAAAGAGCTGGATTCAGGTCCCACTTCAGCCACTTACTAAACCTGAGCCTCAGTTTCTGCTTCACTAAAATGGGAATCATATTTTTCATTCACTGGGTTCTGATGATGGTCAAATGAAATAATGCAGTAATGGGAAGAATCCTAGATTTGGAGTTTGAATACCAGATTAATTCCTTCATTTATTAGCTTTCTCTGTTAATTATTTTCTATTTATCCTATATATAGCTTGCTTTGTATATATTTGTTTGCATATCATCTCCCCTGCCATTAGATTATAAATTCCTTGAGGGCAGGATGCCTTTTGCCTCTTTTTGTATTCCCAGCAGGAATACAAATACAAATACATTAAGTAGGCACTTAATGAAGTAGCTAGAGCACTAGGCCTGGAGTCCAGAAGAGCTGAGTTCAAATCTAGCCTCAGACACTTACTAGCTATATGACCCTGGGCAAGTCACTTAATCTTGTTTACCTCCATTTCCTCATCGCTAAAATGAGCTGAGAAGGAAATGTCAAACTACTCCAGTATCTTTGCCGTGAAAACCCCAAATGGGGTCACATAGAGTTGGACCTGACTGAAATGACCGAATGACAAAAAAATAAATGTTTATTGAATTTAATTGAATTGTTTGTCATTAGGCAAGTAATATATATCATTAGACCTCACTATCCTCATCCATTTAATAAGAGGCTTGGACTATATAACCTGCTACATATATAAACTATAACCCTATTCATGCCAAATTACTATGAAATAGTTAAATTCTAAATACATATTATTAGTCATCTGTTATCTCATTCATTGTTTGTTTGTTATTATCCTTGAACAGTGCTAGGCCCATAGCCAGCACTAAATAGTAAGCACTTTTCTATTCGATTCCATTTCTATGCTCTTAATGTCGTTAGCTATGTGATCCTGGTCAAGTCACCTTGACACTGATAGCACTCACTCCACTGGGTTATGGTATAGATCAAATGAGATAATAAGCACTAAACACAGCGCCTGGCACCTAGTAAGTATGATAGAAATGTTATTATTATTATTATTATTATTATTATTATTATTATTATTATTGTTATTATTTATGGCACAGAAGCTTTGACCTGCTTCATTTTTCTGACCTGGGCCAAATGGTCCCTCCATATGCAGCCTGGTGGCCCTCTTCTCCAAAAGGCTCACCATTTTAGCACCAGATTTAGGGCAGACACTCATTCAGTTTTAGCCCACTGTAGCTCAAAACTCCTGAGCTCAAGTGATCCATGGCCTCCCCCTCCCTGGTAGCAGGAGTGTACCATCACACCCAGTGTAGATAGGAAGAGATGCATCACCAGGTTGGCTACATGGTGATAATAAATCTTTTGGCCATAGTAACTCACAGAGACAATCACTGATGAAGGTGTGAAGGTATGATCATTGTAAGGGAAGGAGTAGACAGACACACTGATGAACTCACAGAGCTTTGAAGTGTTCAAGTAAATGTCCCCAAACCTCAGATTTGGAAGGGGCCTCAGAGGTGCTGTAGCCCAACCCAAACTAGAATAGGAGACTCCTTTACAACCCCCCACCCTCATCCAGGGGACCATCCAGGTCCATTTAAAGACCCCCAATTAAGGAGAGTCCCTTTGATCCCAAGGCTGGCCATTCTAGCTGAACAGTTCTCATTGAAAACCTACCTCTTGGCAGCTTCTCTACGTGGTTCCGTCTTCTGGCAAATCTAAATAGATTTAGTCTAATCCTAGTCCTGTATGACAACCCTTCAAATACTAAAAGGTAGCTCTAATGTGACTTCCCTGTCCCTCCTTTTTATCTAGGCTGGAATTTTCCTAGTTCTTTCAGTTGGCGTTTGTATGACCTGGTTTCCAGTTCCACAGCCATCTTAGTTACCCTTTTCTGCTCTCAAATCTGTTAACGTCCTTCTTAAAAAAAAATGCATTTATGCAGTTCCCCATGTTGTCTGGCCAGGGCAGAGTACAAATATACTTCCTCCCCAGGTTTGAAAACATGCCTCTATTAATACATCTTATGATTGGATTTTCTTTTTCTGGCTGCCAAAATATTGATCCTAGAATGTAGAGCTGTAACTAGCAACTTTTGCACCTTGGGTGAATGGCATGAAAACTGTGCCTTCAGATCATTTGGGGAGTGGGCAAGGTTCAGTAGAGACCCTAGACAGGGGTGGGAACCTGTGGCCCTCTAGGTATTCAAGTGTGGCCCTTTGACTGAATCCAAACTTCACAGAACAAATCTCAAAGGGTGTTACTTGAGGACCTAGAGGGCCACACGTGACCTTGAGGGTGCAGGTTCCCCACCCTTGCCCTAGAATATCACCAGGCCATTACTAGGGAGATGTAGAAGAGGGCAGGGCTGGGATGGGGAGGAGCTTGCTTGAGATGTGGCCTCTAAGGAATACACAGCCAAGTGGGAGCTTCTCATTATTATTATTATTATTGCTAGCTTGGTGCTACATTTAGTTGTTTCTAAGCTGCCAAAGAACTAAAAGTGTGATTAGGGCCTTTCTAATTTCTGGCTCTCTGGGCCACTGCTCCAGTTACCCCACCTTAGTAATGGCTTTGCCAGAATGCTAAAAGGTTCATTAGCATTGCTAAAGGTCTCCAATGAGTCATCTGGTTTTGTTTGCTTTTACAGTACCTAGTGTGCAAAAGGAAGCTAGAAAGTAAAAAGGAGGCTTTACTGATCCTTTCCAAGGAGCTGGATACCTGTCAACAGGAGAGAGACCAGTACAAACTCATGGCCAATCAGCTTCGGGAGCGGCACCAGTCTCTGAAAAAGAAATACCGAGAGCTGATTGTACGTAGTTACTTTGCAAATTACCTATTCACCTGGGTGAGAAATCAAGCCAGACAGTGAAGTGAAGATACTGTCTTTAGGAGAATGAGCTTGCCGGAGGAGTTTAGCTGGGTTGCTTCTGTCTGTGTGATGGTTGCAATCTTTTTTTTTTTTGACATATTGTTAACAGTATCACTATTAATTGCCCGCTGTGCTGCAGCCATTGAATTGACCTAGTGAGGGGGGCAGCTTGTTTGCAAAGATTTTCTCTGGAAAATGTATCTACTTGAAATCTGGACTTCAGCACCTTTTAATGGTAGGGGCCAGATCAGGGAGCACAGCCACCCATAAGATGAAAGGAGTCCTTTCCTTTGAAACGATAATTTGGATGGTACTGACTTCTCCATCCACTTTAGTTCTAAAAACAAACAAACAAACAAACAAAAAATAGCACTCCCTCCCTTTCCAATTTCTGGTAAGCTTTTCTTCTGATTTCGTTCATTTAAAATCAGGGCTTAACCTGAGTGAGACAGCATGTTGCAGAGTCAGAAGCGCATCTGGAGTGAGCAGTCCTAGATTCAAATTCCATCTCTGCCCCTTATTATCTGAATGCCGTTCCCATTACTAGATTCTTATTACCTCCCAGGACCTCAGTCACCTCATTTATAGTATGAGGAGGAAGTTGGTCTTTAGAATAATTTTAAATTCCAAATTCTTATGACCCTATGAATGGGACTGTTAGTTCAGTCAGAGAATATTTTGACTCTCTTGCTTAGGTCTTATTCATTAGTTTTTAAAACTGTATAGGTTTTGTTCCAGTTGGAACCAGTTCCCTGGAGTTCTGGGTGTTTTAAAGGCATCTTCATTTCAATTCACATAGTTCAGTTGGGGGAAGAAAAAAGAATGGTTGGGTTGGGTTTGAAATTCAGCAAATGGAGGCTTTGTTCTGGTCTTTTGTTCCCAGCTTGGCTGACATATATGTTAGGTTTTTAATGCATTTTAAAAGGTGAAATGTGCTTTGTTTCTTTGTAGGATGGAGACCCATCAATTCCACCTGAAAGGAGGAAACAGGTAGGATTTCTTTCTGTTTCTTTGGCAGTCTCCTCTCAATGTATCAGTTCCTAAGAACACTAATTCTTTTTTTTGAAATTGTTTGATTTCTGCCTCTTGTTACAAGTCATTTCCATATATACCACAGTTTTCCACCATCCTCTCAAATCCCTCCAAGAATTAAGTCTTCCCTGGTGGCAAACAAAATAGTCGAGCACAAACAACTGATACAGTGATGACATCTGATAGTGTATGCAGTGTCCCCCAGCCAGTTTCCCTATGGGGACTTGTGAACTATAATTGGGTAACCAGGACTTTCCCCCAGGATGCTGACTTTAGAAGGGTGTCCCCTTGTAGTGTAGAAGCTACAGAGCTTAGTACAGAACTAGTTAGCAAGGGTAATTAGGTAGAATCAGGAGCTATTATCAGGTATTTGGCTGGGCTGAGGTCTTCCCTTAGCTTGGTCTCCCCAGCAGGCTTCACACTTGGGTCCCAGGGTCTCTATCTCTGTCCACTCCCCCCTCCCAGCTGAGGTGTGCTTCAACCTATGTGTGGTTAATAGTATTTGCTGAAGGTGCAACAGTTCCTGATTGTGGCTTTGAAGGTCTGATCTGATCTCCAGGACTAAAGTTGGTTGTTACTTGTTTTCCTTTTAATAGAACACCAAGTCTTGACACTAGGTGGTCATCTTGATTCTTTTTTGTAGAGGGGAATCTACTTTTCATTTTTCCAAAGCTTTGGTGGGGAATAGGATGAGGTGGGGAAGGCTGTCAGGAAGGGAGGGTTGGGATGGGAAGTCTTTTGAGGTGGGAAAGCTGCTGACATTGGAGTCCCTGTGCCAGATGTGTATGTGGAGAGATAGTTGAGGAGATGCTAAAGGTGGCTGCTGCTGCTGCCGCTGTCATCACCTCTGCCTAGGTTTCTCTCCAGGAGGGGAATGATAACAAACTTCCTAGAAGTGATCTTAACAGCTACCTTGAAGATCTGGCTAGGTGAGGCTTTCGGGGCTGCTAGTAAAACCACAATGTTTAGAGACCCACTGCTTTAGAGTAATTTTCCTGGCTCTGCTCCTGAGGAAGTTAGCACCCAGACTCAGGTTTATAAAAGACCTCGTCTTGGAGGGGACCTTAGAAGTGATCTGATTCAGGCTTCTCAGTTTACCAAAGAGGAAACAGGCCCAACCAGGTTAAATGAGTTAGGGGCAGCAAGTGGTACAGTCAGAATTCCAGTCGATTCCTCTTACTCCAAATTCAATGTTCTTTCCTCCATTTAAATTGGTTAGAAGGTCCATGTAACGGTTCTAGTGGTGTATTTCTTGGGATCTCTTTAAATTGCTTACTTGAGGTAGACTTAAATGTATGTGCATTTTCGCTTTCTCAGTTGTTTCTGTGTTGCTTGAGCTGAATGATGCTGCATTCATAGTCTAGTATTCCAGTTGAGAGAGGAAATTCTGTACCTGGTGTGAGGTGGGGCTGGGGGCTGGGTGAGGGTGTTGTTAAATAAATGGATAAAAATGGGGGTTTTCTGATGTTTTTCACAGCTTTGGTGACTACATTGGGCCATGATCTAACTCTAAAATTCTTTCCATCTAATCCAGAATTGTAAAATTGTCTGTGTATACATTAATTAGGGCAGCCTAATTAATAGAGTGCCAGTCCTGGAGTCAGGAAGACTCATCTTCTTGAGTTCAAATCTAGCCTTAGAAACTTACTAGCTGTGTGACCCTGGAAAAGTCACTCAACCCTGTATTCCTCAGTTTCCTCATCTATAAAATGCGCTGGAGAAGGAAGTGGCAAATCATTCCAGTTTCTTTGCCAAGAAAATCCTAAATGGGGTCATGAAGACATGACTGAAAAACTCCCCAACAAAAAACACATTAATTAATCTTTTGTTAATTGCTGTCCTCAGTACTTTGTGCAAACTAAAAGATGTGTTCTGCCCTTTAGAGGCTTATAATCTTAGGTAGAATAGACAGGATGGCCAAATAAAAAGGTATTTTTATTCCCCTGAACTGCAGATCAGGCCTCACGATTCCCTCTCATATATGCTATCTCCACCACACCCCCAAAAGCACTTTTCTTTTGTGATTATTTTATGTCATTCATAATTTGGTCTGAGGTGCGAGAGGATTTGCCATGGCATTAGCTAGAACTTCCCTGCAAAATTATATGGGTGGATGGGAATGAATTGTTTAACATTAGAATCCTTAATCTCGAATTGCTAGGGTTGTTTTCTGTGACTCTCAATAGTAGTCTTTCCTCTGATTTAGTATATTTACAATTCGTTAGTATTCATGAAGCAGTTTTGCAGTTTTGGGTGGGTTTGCATTCCATGACTTTATAATAAAAAATTTGCATTAACCGAAGAGAATCTGGTGAATTTCACTCAGATTTTTCTGATGCATCTTTATGACCCTAGAAGCATGGAATGGCTGTGTGAGCTACTGCCTGTATGGCTGTGAAGTTGGTGTTTAGTTTCTCTCCTTGTAACGTTTGGGTTTTTTTTGTTGTGTTGGTTACTAATTGACCCTGATGCTCCACAATTATCCAGTCAAAGTGCTGGACGAAACATGGTCTCTGAAAGGCCTCTGCCTGACAAGCAGTTAGAAAAGTGACCACAGTGTTTTGGGAAGAGAAATAACCTACATTCTAATTCCTTTTTAGAAGGTTAGGTGATTTTTTTTCCCTGTTGTTATACCAAAGATCTTTTTACCAGAGCTACTATAATATATGAAACAGTATAGGGAAAGATACTGATATAGAACTAAATTTCTAGTTGCCTGCTATAATGAAACTCTACGTTTTGCTCAAAGCAAGCACCTTTTATTTATTTATTTCTGTTTTGAGTGGGAGGTACAGCAGGGGACTGGAGGTGAAAAGGAAGAGACAAAATTATTCACTAAACTTTTGCATCAACCAGACGAGGGTAGAAACATGCCCCTTGACCTCAAGCCTCATGGACTGTATTACACGTTTATCCCAAAGGCAAAACATCAAGTGGAGCATTTATCCCTCCAGCTATAGAACATATATGTACACACTATACAAATGGAAGGCGTGAGAATAGGAACTCAGCTTGGCAACTTGAGGCACTCATCTGCATCGCTAATAGTTATGCATATATAGAATCCCAAGATGTCAGTCGCTAGGAAAGGAGAAGATGCCAAATGGAATAACACATTGACCTTTTGGTCTGCAAATTAGCCTCCTCTGTATGTTTCAGAATAAAAGATGGTACACGATCCTGTGTAATTCATGTTATAAGAGAAGTCGTTCCTGGCTCCTGTAGATTTTTCCAGTTCAGTTTCATATTACAGAGGATCTTCTTAAGCATGGTAATAAAATTCCCCCCTTACACCTTACACATACTTAAAAAGCCTCCATATATATCATATGAAAAGAACCTTGTAAGGAAATCAGGGAAAGTATCGTTTTCATCTCCATTTGACAGATTCTACTGTTCAGGTCCAGAGAAGTTAAGGGACTTACCCCTGGTCACTCAGCATGTTAATGGCAGAGCTTAGACTAGAACTCAGATCTCCTGGCTCCTACTTTGTTAGTCTTCCTGGCACAGTGCACTACATTGCATGTAATTCAATTCCATTCAACAAGTGTTTATTAAATACCCACTGCGTGCCAGGCATTGTTCTAGGAACTGGAAATGCAAAGACAAAGAAAATAGCCCCTGGGGGAACTTACCCTGCACTGGGAGAAAATAACATGGACCTAGACGAGTAACTGCAATACACACATACATATGTGTGTGCACACATGTACAAATTCAAAGTATCAAATGCTTATGTGTTGTTTTTCCAGCCCTCCTTTGAGAACACACCAAAGGTTTTTTTTTTCTCTTTTTAGTTCCAGTATTAGTGTTGACTGGGTTTTGGAGGATGGGGTGAATTAGAATGCTTTTAAAACATTTCAATTTTCAGTGGTTAATCATTCATTATAGGACCTGTGAAGAAATCAGGGCAACAGTAATTTCCCTAATAGCTTCTCAAGGGATATTGACACAAAAATTTCCCCTTGACACATATTCTAGATGGAACTATTTGCAGAGATTAGATATGGAACTCTTTTGCACCTGCAGTGAGATGCCACCAGATGATCTCAAAAAGGCCCTTAGAAGGAACGAAGTTTTTTCTTCTAAAGAAGCAATTTCCCCAAAAGAGACAAAAGGGAATTTAAATCATCTCCCATTAATGTTCTTGTGAGATCAGAATGAGGCCCTTTGGCATGAAGAAGCCGTACAGCCCTTTAAGAGCTCCCCTCTCCCCTCCCCCCACTCCATTTTTAGATTATAGCAGCCAAGCCATGGGAAAATATTCCTTTTAGTTTCTTAACTGAGATGCAATTCTAGTCATATCCAGAATGTCAAGGAACAGATATAACACTTCACTCTGAGTTGATGTAACTATAAGGATTATTGATAATATGCAAACCAATTGGACATGTGGTAAGAGCAAAGGACAACCAACTGATGGCTATTCCACTGTTCCTCTTCTGATTTCAGAAGAAAATAAAGAAGGTTTCTGGCATATTGATTGAATTATTTGAGGCAAACTGATGGGAAGACCTGGACAAGAGTTACAATAGATGAGCTTTCCTTGGTGGATTATTATACATTATGTATTGTTAGAGGACCCAATCTACATTAGTGATCTCAGACATCAGTTTGAGTGCTCATTCATACACAAAGAACATAAGACATTTGCTCCATCTCATTCCTCTCATGGGTCCCTACTTTGTCCTGGTTTGAAGAAGTTCAACACAAGCATCTGGCCCTCTTCAGGTAATAGACTAGTTCTGAGAGGTCCACATCTGTTAGGGGTTATATGGTTTTATACCAAACTGAGGCATAAAGGGAGCTGGAGCCTTTTGCAAATGATTCATTCTTGTATAATTCCCAAGTTTCAGTGAGTCCCAAGTAACTTTGAATATGCCAATTCTGGGTAGGTCTGATAAGACTAAACATAGGGCTTGGCATAGTTCCCATGGAGTCAGGGACTGTACTCAGAG